TTTTCCTAAATTCTCAGCCTGGAGGAGCTGCAGCCTTTTTGTGCTGAAGAATTCCCCATTCATGTTCAGCTGAGGTTCCATGCAGACATCAAAGGAAAACATTAAATTTCCCCAGCAAGCCTGGGGCTAACTTCAGAGGATACATCACTGAGTAATGTTGAGCAGTTGGATCACAGTTAATTCAGGGGAAAAAATGAAACTGCAGGACGCCCACAAGACATTCTCCACATATTTCCATAATCAGGGACATTTCTGCTGAATTACTGCTCACAAAAAATCAGCACAAAAAATCAGCACCCAAGACACTCAGTGGCATCTCTGGCCTGGATCTTTCTGCTCTTGTTCCCATCCTCCTGTACGGGCACCAAGAGGATTCCAACAGAAAGAGCTGAAATAACTCAGAGTAGGTAGAAATCAGCATCACCCCTGCCAGTTTTAAACTTTGTTTAACTTTACTTGGTAAATGCCTATTTTGTTGGCTGTTCCCCTCAGGCCCCAACAGAAAATGATGTAAAAGAAAAACTCCTGTGTCTCCTTCCTGGAGACATTGATGATGGAATAGATATTTTTCTCAAACATTCTAAAAACCATGGGATGTTGTGCCTGTAACAAGAAGTGCCTTTCACTTACTTTTTTGGCATTGAAATATGATTTTTAAGTACAGTTGCCTGGCACTGTGATATTGTTTTTACATTAAAACCAAAGAGGGCTGGGACAGCCTGTACTAATTTGGAGGAGCAGACAGGACCTGCTCCAAAACCCTCCAAGCTGCATTTATCAGGTGGGGAGAAGGAGGAACAAAGACATCCAGTGACTTCCTCAAGGTCACACAGGAATCTGTTGCAGGGCAGGGTTGAGTTCCCAAAGTCTCAGCCCACTTAAGCACTGGAAAAAGCAGTGAAACAAGAGTATGTACTAAATTTGGCACAGCCTTTTAAATGATGCATTGCTCCAAGGGAACAAGAACCTCCACTCATGCTAAGCCAGACACCAAAGGAACACAGAAAGGAAAAACTGCTCACTCCACCCAATTTATCCGATCACCTTAATATTTCCTAAGTCAATAAGGCCTCTCTTGGCCAGACAGTCCAACCTACAATTTAGATCCTGTTACAAAATCAGACACACTGAACCACTTTCTCCCTCAGGCTGCAGGAGATAAAAGGCCAAGTAAGCAACATTTTGGTAACTGGCTTCATGTAACAGCTTTGGATTTTCTTAAAAGCCTCAGCATCGATTGTTTGCTTTAAATAACAACGGTTTATTGAGAAACCTTCCCCTCCTTTAAAAGCACAAAGTTTTCCTGAAAGAGAGAAAGGAGCAAAAACCGCCCTGCCAAGGCATATTTGTCTAAGAGTTTTGGATACCTGGTGCTGGCAAAACACTTAGAAACCAGAGTTAAGGTAACACTGGTGCTGAGAGAGGAAACCTGGGAGATGGAATGAAAGCAGAACAATCCCGGGATTCAGCTCCAGCTGTGTTTGATCCAACAGCTCCAGCCAGGGCTGCAGCTTGTGAGGAGCATCCAGAGGAGCTGAAAGCTCCTGGAGTGCAGAGCAGCCCAGCTCAGGGCAGAAGCAGCACAGGAATTCATCCATGGAGGCAAATCCCCAGCACCCTGCTGTTACATAAAGCCTGTTTGGTGGGGAATGCTTCCAAGGATGGAGTCATTTGGGCTGCCTGGATCCCATGGCACAGCCAGGCTCAGGATGAGCTGCAGCTGCTCCCATTTCTGCAGAGTCTCCCACTCCCTTTTCCAGCCCCGTTCCTCCCTTTTCCTCTGCCACGTTTCCATGTGGGAAACCAGCACAGCAACTGCAGTGCCTGCTTCAGGGATGGGAGCATAAGGCTGGGATGAAAGGACTGAAACATCTCCCCAAGCCTTCCTCCAAACTGAGCTCCAACAGATAAAAAAGCCACTATTTCAGTTTGCCTGGGAAAGTTCCTCCACATTTGGAAGCCCCTTGAGGCAGGGACTGCCCTTCTGCTCTGTCAAACACCACTTGTACAAGCCACGATTGCACAACTGCTTTTATAAGGTTCCCAATTATACAAAGAATGTGTTTTTATTCATGTTTACAACCCTGAGAAACAAACCCTGAAACCCCAAACCCTTTGCATTCAAATTCCATGACCTGCTGGTGGCTCCACCAACTATTAATTCACACCTTGGTCCAGAATGAACTTTTAGAAGGAGCACACTGGAATTAACACTTCCAAAAGTCACATTGTGCTTCCCTTCTTTCCCTCTCCTGTTCATATTTTAGCAGTCAGCATTCCTGGGCAGTTTCTGGGCTAGCAGCTCAAATTCCAAGCACTTGGCAGCTCTGGCACTGCCCTGCTGGAAGCTCCTTAACCTGCAGAGCTGCACTGGAGCATGGACCTGGAACAAGGAGGGGAAGGAAGCAGCAAAGGTGAAAGCACTGGGAATGTTCAGCCTTGTTTTTCCTTGGCTGGGGACCAGCTGTATCAAGAAACAAAAGCAGAGCACAAACTTTAATCTGCTGTAAAAACAGCAAGTAAAACAAGCCTCCTTCCTCAGCCAGTGAAGCACTTTCTGTGTCCCAACACAACATCCAGGGCACCAAATAAATAAAAATCCAATGAGTCACTGCCCATCCCAGGTGGGCACAGGAGCCTGGAGTCACCCAGCTGGCTAAAGGGTGAAGCAATTTCACCTCCAGGGCACAGATACTGCTGCATTTACGTTTATCTACATTTCAAACCCCTTTCCAAGGGGCACAGCCCTTCTGCCCCTGGGGATCCACGAAGCTGAACTGTTCAAGCTGCACACAGAGAGCTCACAGCACCATTTCCACTCAGCCCAGCTCATACAGCTCTGGCTGGGGCTGTTTTTTCTGAGCACAGATTTTATAAGCTGAACAAACTTCATGGAACAGTTATTCCAAGGCAGCTGAGCCCTGGGACTGACCACAGCCAGGGAAGGTTTCATTTTCCCACCTCAGAACAAGCTCCTCTTACTGGCCTGCATCAAAACTCTTACTGGCTGTGAGAGCTTTTAATTCAGCTTATCCCAACACCCCTCAAGAGCTGGAAGGGACTGATCAGGATCACTGAGTCCAACTCCAGCACAGGACCCCCCAACAATCCCATCCTGGGCCTGAGACCAAACCCTGGGGAGCCCCTTTCAGTGCTCCACCACCCTGGGGATGAAAACCTTTTCCTGATACCAACTAAAGCTGCCCTGACCCAGCTCAAGCCATTCCCTGGTCATGGGAGTGAAGAGATCCGTGCACTTGTGAGGGTGGTGAAGACTCCAAGCAGTTAACACAAAACCACAGCTCACAAACAGATCCTCTGAGATGAGAGCCCATTTTCCAAGGGAAAAGGCAGCTGGGAAAGTCCAAGCATTTACACAGCCACTGATGTGCATTGTTATAGTATTTGCAGGGAGATATGATGCATCTGACTCCATCTTATCAGAAGGCTAATTAATTACTTTATTATACTATATTATTCTATACTATATCACATCACATCTAAACTGAATTGCCAAGCACTCAGCTCTGCACACAACTGTCCTGATCTTGTGACTGTCACCCAACAGTCCTGATACACACACACCTGGCCCTGACAGGCCAAGGAAACAAAAACCATCACTGTGGGTAAATAATCTCCATATTGCATTCTAGTTTTGCACAAACACGGGCACAGCAAATAATAATGTTTTTTCCTTTCTCTGAGGTTCAGAGAGTGTGAAACCCAGAAATATTCTTGGGAAGAATTGTGCCTTGCTTTTCTCTGTGAAGAGAAATGTGGGGCTACACACGAGGCCCTGAACCAAGGAACCAAACCACCATCAGTCTGGGTAACCAATCTCCATATTGCATTCTACTTTTGCACAAACACAGGCACAGCAAATAATAATGTTTTTCCTTTCTGTGAGGTTCAGAGAATGTGGAACCCAGAAATATTCTTGGGAAGAATTGTGCCTTGCTTTTCTCTGTGAAGAGAAATGTGGGGCTACACACTAGGAACCAATCTCCATATTGCTTTCTATTTTTTCACAAATGCAGGCACACCAAATGAGATAAGAATTGTTTTTCCTTTCTCTGAGGTTCAGAGAATGAGAATCTCAGAAATATTCTTAGGAAGAACTGTGCCTTGCTTTCCTCTGTGAAGAGAAATATGGGGCTACGCATTTGGCCCTGAACCATGGAACCAAACCACCATTACTTTGGGTAAACAACCTCCATATTGCATTCTAGTTGTGCACAAACACGGGCATAGCAAATAATAATAGTTTTTCCTTTCTCTGAGGTTCAGAGAGTGTGAATCCCAAAAATATTCTTCGGAAGAACTGTGTCTTGCTTTTCTCTGTGAAGAGAAATGTGGGGCTACACAGTTGGCCCTGAACCAAGGAACCAAAACCCCATCACTGTGGGTAAATAATCTCCATATTGCATTCTACTTTTGCACAAACATAGGTACAGCAAATAATAATAGTTTTTCCTTTCTCTGAGGTTCAGAGAATGTGAAACTCAGAAATATTCTTGGGAAGAATTGTGCCTTGGTTTCTTCTGTGAAGAGAAACGTGGGGATACACACGAGGCCCTGAACCAAGGAACCAAAACCCCATCACTGTGGGTAAATAATCTCCATATTGCATTCTAGTTTTGCACAAACTCAGGCATAGCAAATAATAATTGTTTTTCCTTTCTCTGAGGTTCAGAGAGTGTGAATCCCAAAAATATTCTTGGGAAGAATTGTGTCTTGCTTTTCTCTGTGAAGAGAAATGTGGGGCTACACACGAGGCCCTGAACCAAGGAATTAAACCACCATCAGTCTGGGTAACCAATCTCCATATTGCATTCTAGTTTTGCACAAACACAGGCACAGCAAATAATAATTGTTTTTCCTTTCTCTGAGGTTCAGAAAATGTGAAACCCAGAAACATTCCTGGGAAGAATTGTGCCTTGCTGTGAAGAGGAACGAGGCGACACAACGTGAGGGAACCGTCTGCTCCGGGGAGCCCCTACCTTGGAGATGAGCTCATCGTGGTTGGCCAGGTGAGCCCTGCAGTGGATGCAGCTGTAGGTCCTGTGGCAGGAAGGCAGGTATGCCTGGAAAGTCTTGGACCTTGTCATCTTCACCATTGGAGCCACGGAGCGCTGGCTGAAGTCGGGGGTGGCCCAGGAGGCGCTCCCGCAGGAGGGGTCGCACGGGAAGCAGCGGAACACGCAGGTAAAGGCCGTGGTTTGGCAGGGATGGGGTGTGTGGGGCGGGCTCCACACGCTGCTGACGCTCCAGACGAAGGGATTCGGGCACCAGAAGCAGGGGATTGCACAGAAACCTGCGGTGGAAAGCAGACACAGCACTCAGCTCGCAGCCCGCAGCGGGATTTAGGGCTGGATTTAGGAGACAGGAGAGATGCCCAGGGATTAAATCAGTACCAGAGATCTTTATTCATTTGCTGGCTGCCCTCACACCTCCCTGCTGCAGTTATCTGCACCATTGTTCCAGCCCTTGTGGCTCTGGAAGTGCCTGCAGAGGAATGGAGGTGATTCCCACATAGCCTGGTCCCAGGGTTTAGAAGCAGGAGACAGGAGTGATGCCCAGGGATCAGATCAGCAGCACAGATCTTTATTCACTTCCTGACTGCCCTCACACCTCCCTTCTCCTGTTATCTGCACCATTCTTCCAGCACTTGTGGCTCTCTCTGGAAATGCTTGCAGAGGAGTAATTCCCACCCAGCCTGGTCCCAGGATTCAGGGCTGGATTTAGGAGACAGAAATGATGCTCAAGGATCAGATCAGCAGCACAGATCTTTATTCACCTCCTGGCTGCCCTCACTCCTCCCTTCTCCAGCTATCTGCACCCATTCTTCCAGCATTTCATGGCTCTGGAAGTGCCTGCAGAGGAATGGAGGTGATTCCCACACAGCCTGGTCCCAAGGTTTAGAAGGAGGAGACAGGAGTGATGCCCAGGGATCAGATCAGCAGCACAGATCTTTATTCACCTGCTGGCTGCCCTCACACCTCCCTTCTCCCGTTATCTGCACCATTCTTCCAGCCCTTGTGACTCCTGCAGAGGAGGGGAGGTGATTCCCACCCAGGCAGGGACAAAGTGGGGAGCAGAGCCAGCCCCTGTCCCCTGCCTGACTCACTGCCGTGACACCTCATGGGAAAAATGAGAGCTGGACCTGGGTTTTCTAAGGCCATGAGTCACCAAACCAGTTTTTCTCTCCATTCTGCCCTACTTTCCCCATGGGAAATGCAGGATTCCTTCATTATACTTTCCTTTAGAACTCCCTGCAAGCTCTGAAGGTAGAAGCTACTCTATAAACTGCACTCCAGTATTTTATTTTTTTTTTTATCTGAACATCTGACAGCAGCCAAAGCAAGGCACAGCCTCTGAAGACTACACCTGACAGCAAGAGACATTAAAAACCCTATTCAGGATGGAAACACCATTTTACACTCCAACATCATCTGACAGCACCTGCAAGGCAGCTCAAGTCTGGGTCTCTTTTTGCTGGCAGAAATGGAGTTTTCAGATCCCACACCTATAAAAGTCTTAGAGCTACAAGTGTTGCTTTTGAGGATGGAGAAGCACAAAGGAAGCAGCAGCAGCTCCCCTCCCTCCCTCCCGGATCCACGGCGTGCACGCACGCTCTGCAAATTAATCATGAACTCTGGCTGCTGCTCCCAGGAGGATTTTCCTTTCCATGTGATTCTGCTCAGTCTCTGAGCCTGCACTTTGTGGGTCAAACACGGAAAAACACCAACTTCACCCCCAAAATAAAAAAAACAAGGAATAACATCTCAGGCATCAGGAGAACCCGGCCTCCAACACTTCCCCTAAACCTCGCCATGGTTGATAAAGCAGATTTAAGGTGTCCAAGCCATGGACGCTGTCCCAGGGTGTCCAGAGCTCTGTCCAGCCTGGCCTGGACACCTCCAGGGATGGAGCAGCCTGTGCCAGGCCTCCCCACCCTCACAGGGAAGGATTTTTGGGTGATCCCCACCCCAAAGCTCCTCTCTATCAGTGTGAAGCCATTCCCCCTGTCCTGCCACTCCCTGCTCATGGAAATATTCCCTCTGCCTGGTACCAGAGGGACCTGACCACATACAGAGCTCAACAGGAGCCAGAATTCTGCAAAACAACAGGATACCCATTTTTTCTTCTTTTTTTTTTTCTGAAATATTTTTCTTCTGCTCTCCAGGAGGCAGAAGACTCCCTCACAATGAAACAAGAAAAAAAAGCATCTTGCTCATCAGGCAAGCTGCTGATAAAGCAGATCCATCATGATCATAGCAGTCAGCTCTTCCACAGCACTGCTCACTCCTAAAGCTTTCTGCAAATACCAACTAATCAGATTAACCTTTTCCAATTAAAGTTACAGCCACAGCTGAGCAGGACCCCTCTGACACAGAAAGGTTCATTTCCCAGCTCGTGAGGAGCTCACCCCTCTCCTGCCCAGTCCAAATGAGGTTCTGCCAGGGATTTACCTGGCCAGTTGCTAAAGACTGTTTGCACCACAGCTGCAGCTCTGGATTTCAGCAAAATTTGTCTTTTACACTCATCAGAGAAGGAAGATAAATCAGGAAGATAAATCAGGAAGATAAATCAGTCTTCACCTGTATCCTGCCCCAGTTCTCTGTGTGCACCAGAATTTTGTCAGAACTGAGTTCTGCATTAGTCAGCATTGTTTTCCCATCCAAGGTGAGAGGCACTCAAGGACTGCAGCCTAAATTAGCAACAGGGCAGAAACCAGATGTAAACCAAAGCAGAAAATCCTCATTTTCAGCTGCCACAAAACCATCCCCAAATTCCCTGGGGCCTGATTGAGCAGCTGTGTTTTATCCCAGATCCTGCAATCTGTGAGGCTCCAGGGAAACAGGAGAACAAGTGTGCCCTTCCTGGGGCTAAATGCAGCTGGACACAGATTCCCTTGGAAAAGTTGGGGGAAAGCACAAGGAAGGACTGGCAATGACTTCAGCTGATTCCTGAATGAGAATCCAGATTGTGTCTAAACCTCAGGCTTGATCTGCAATGAAATGCAGCCCCCTCTCACCTCCACTCCAGCATGGATCAGTGAAACAATCCATCACCACTTCCACCACTTCCATCCTGCCCTGCCAAACCTTCCCTTCCCCACCAGCTGCAGAAGGCAATCCCCAGGCACCCCCAGAGAGAGATAAATAAACCCCAACCAGAACAATACCCCAGCAATCCTTTAATTTGCTGCTTGCTGACCCCTCTGTCCAGACCTGCTCAGCATCAGTGCTCCAGAACAATGAATAAAGCAGGAAATCCTACAGCTGCATTCATCTGACACAGCAATGAGCACACACACAGGAATTATCTGCTGCACACAGCTTTCTGCAAAAGCAGCTCATGAGCATTCATTTATTTGACCTCATAACACACTGAACATCAGCAAAAAAACATTTGACCTTTTAAAAGCAGACCAAAAAAAGAAAATGTTCAGGCGAGATGGTATCAGAGGAACTGCAATTCCTGTCTCAGGGCTGTGCTGAGAAAGCAAACTCCATCTCTGCTCCAGGCAGGGCAGAGAATAAAGATTGGTGAGCCAAGATCTTGGTGGGAAGCCTTGTTAAGAAAATGCCTTGAATAAAAACTTCAGATAAGCTCAGCTATAATTTATCAAGACACCACTTTGACACAGTCTGACCACACGTGCATTGTCCACCTAGAGCTCTGTCCTCACCAGTGTGGGAGAGGAGGTAAAACCTACAGGAAATGCATCCTGACATTCTACAAGCACAGCCAGCAGCTTATAAGGACCAATTTCTGTCTTAAATATAATTTTGAAATGTATTCAGTGGCTCCCAGCAATGCAAAACCCAACCCCGTGGATTTTTCATGTCCTAATGACAACTACATTTGAATTAGGAGACAATTACCAGCTAACAGTGCATTTGTTCTGCTGCAGAACAAAGGCACCAGGATGAATTTGGGCTGTGCCTCTGGTTTTCAGAATGATGAGCTCATGTTCATCAGCATCACAGGCAGTGGGCAGCAGTGGAATCGTTGCACTCACTTTAAAAAAGAACAAAAGAAGGTTTGTTCACTTTATCATGGTGCCCAGCACTGTCAGAGATGAGTATCTGTCACCACCACCATCATCCATTATTGTTCTTTTCTCATTCAAGAGAAATTTATCTCTGGGATGCACTCACTCGATTCAATGGAAGAGGAATTTGTGCCTATTAATTAATGCCCACCGAGTCAGGAAGTTGGTTTAGACAAAAGGAAAGGATTCTAAAGAAAAAATAAAAACTTGCAACATCATTTATTGTGGGTTATCAGTGGGAAAATCAGCTGAATGTTTGGTTTGCCTGCCCTGGGTGTGTTGGGCTGTCCTGCTGAGTTCTGGGCAGGTATCAGCTTCCTGATGGAAAAACCACCACACACTTTCTGCCATTTGGGCAGCTTTGGTTCAGAATCCACCCTCCACCTGTGGGAGTCCAACACAAAGCTCTCAGCAATTCAGAAAACACAAAAAAAGGAGGAATTCTGTGCCAAGCACTTGCCAGACAAGGCCACTGTGAGTACAAGTCCATATGCCAGGGAACAAAACCATCACACACAAGCCTGATTTCAATAAAATCCATTTGCAATGCAGCTCAGATGCAAATGTTCGTTGTGGCAGGACAAACAACAGGTTTGTTTGGGCTGAGAGTTTTTTTTTAATGATTTATTCAATTTTAAGATCAACTTCAGCCTGTGAAATACTTATTAGAATATAGCAAATGCTACAGAAAGCTGCTTGCAGCAGCTCTGAAATAATCCAGGTATTTGGAAACCCAACCTTTCTCCTTTGGTGGGTCTCTCATTAATACAGAAAGAGTTTGAGATGTGCTGATTCCCAGAGCAAGGAGAGCACAAGAGGAATTGGGTTTGGAGTTTTCTGTGCCTAAGCTGGGTTGCTCCAGGCCCTGAGCAGGATTCTAAGAAAATTTCAAGGTAAATACAGCCACTTACCAGGGTTTTCTTGACAAAAAATGCCTCAATATTCCTCAATGCAGCTTGGAGGAAGGCTGGTCTCTAATTGGAGCTGGGGTTTGATGCCCTGCTCTGCTTCCCTATGGATCAGGAGTTATCAGAGCCAGGTGTGGGACACTCAGAGACACCTGGCACTGCTAAAGGAGCATTTCATACTCTCATAGTGACAAAATATCCTGGTCTGGGGCAGTTCTGGAGAGCCGCAGCTCTGGGAAAGCTGCAGCAGATCCTCTGAAGGTGGGAGGGAGGGTGGGATGTACCTTGAGGAAGGATGAACATCCTGAATTCAACCAGGGAACAACACAAGGGGAAGCCAAGAGA